CGAAATAGTGACGAGGCTAGGACAAGACACCCACATATAACCTGAACAGTATAATCATGCTAGTGGCAACAACAGTAAATAAAGAAATAACGCAGAAATAATGGGAAGGGAACATACAGTGGGGGAATATAACATAAAGAGTGAGAATAATGAAAAGGCAGAATTAAACTGAAAATCTTTAAATGAATTGAGCAATTAAAACAGCAAGGAAAACTGCACGGCATCACCCTCCATGCTTTTACTTTCAACCTCACCAAATAAATAAATAGAACGGCACGGCATCACCCTTCGTGCATTAAACCTCTCATAATATACACGGCATCACCCTTCGTGCTTTAAACCTCTCATAATATACACGGCATCACCCTTCGTGCTTTACACTCTTCCTCACAATATAAATAATACACGCACGGCATCACCCTTCGTGCTTTACACTCTTCCTCACAATATAAATAATACACGCACGGCATCACCCTTCGTGCTTTATACTCTTCCTCACAATTTACAGAATCAATAATAACATATAGAGAGAAGTTTCACAAAGAAATTAATATTTCACCAATAATTACTTTCACAATGTTTAACATCTCAACCTCGAATCAATATTCACAATTTTATCAGCCTTGGTGAAACCGGATACAAGTCTCCTAACATTTCAACAACAACAATAAGCATGGATAACAAGATTTAAGACTATAAATTTGCAAGAATGGAATTTCACTCGCATGCTATGACTCGACCATAATGCATAGATGCTCGTCACCTCAACTATACATCGTATTCAATAACAAAACACATAGCAATTACTCACACAATATCTATTCCCTCAAGCCAAAGTTAGACACAACACTTACCTTGCTCCGAAGACCACTAAATTCTCAATCACAGCTTTTTCTTTGGAATTCACCTCCAAACCACTCGTATCTATTAAAAAATGACTCAATAACATCAAATATTGCTAAAGGAATCAATTATATTTTATAAATTAAATTTTTCAAATTTTTCTCCAAAAGGTTGAAAAATCCATCCCGGGCCCGCTTGGTCAAAACTCGAGGTTCGGACCAAAAATTTTTTACCCATTCATACCCGAGCCCGAATATATAATTAGTTTTGGAATCCGACCTCAAATTGAGGTCTAAATCCTCAAATTTCGAAATTCCTAAGTTCTACCCAAAAATCCTAATTTTACCATAAAAATTCTAGATTCTAGGTTGAAATCTTGTTATAAGATGAAAAAGATTGAAAGAAAAGAGTTAGGAATCACTTACCTATGATTTGGGGAAGATTTGGTCTTTGAAAAATCGCCTCTTAAGGTTTAGGGTTTTGAAAATATGAAGAATGAATGAAAAATCCCGTCTAAGCCCCTTTTACTCAGCTGCAGGTGTCGCAATTGCGACTTGAATGCGAAGCTCGCAATTGCGAAAGAACTATCGCAATTGTGATGGCCTTCACAATACCGCTGCCTTCGCAAATGCGAGGAAAGTGTCGCATTTACGACCACTGAACCTCGCAAATGCGAGTAAATGTTCGCATTTGGGAACCTGCCCTTCCCAGACTCCCTTCGCAATTGCGAAGGTAATCTCGCAAATGCGAGAACTGCTGGCCCAGGTTTCTGATCGCAATTGCGATGAAAGCCTCGCAATTGCGTACCCTGTTATGTTCGCATTTGCGATGCCTGATCTCGCAATTGCGAAATCAGAGGCCTGCAATAGGTTCAGTTATACCAGCAAAATTTCTAAGTTCAAAACATCTCGTGGCCTATCCGAAACTCACCCGAGCCCTCGGGGCTCCAAACCAAACATGCACACAAGTTTAAAAATATCATACGAACTTGCTCGCGTGATCAAATCGCTAAAATAACACCTAGAACTACGAATTTAGCACCAAATCAAATGAAATTCTCAAGAACACTTTAAAATTCATATCTTCTCAATTGGACGTCCGAATTACGTCAAATCAACTCCGTTTCTCACCAAAATTCACATATAAGTCTTAAATATCATAATGAACCTGTACCAGGCTTCGAAACTAAAATACGGACCCGATATTAACAATGTCAAATATCAATCAATTCTTATAAATAAATAATTTCTAGACTTTTAATTTTCATCAAAATTCATAACTCAAGTTAGGGACCTCCGAATTTGATTCCGGGCATACGCCCAGGTCCCATAATTCGATACGGACCTACGAGACCGTCAAAATACGGATTCGGGCCCATTTACCAAAGATATTGACCGAAATTGACTAAAATTAACTTTTAAGGCATAAATTCTTATTTTCATCAATTTTCAACATAAAAGCTTTCCGAAAATCTGTCCGGACTGCGCACGCAAATGGAGGAGGGTAAAAATGAGATTTTTAAGGCTTAAGAGCGCAGATTCGAGTTCTTACACATAAGATGACTTTTTGGGTCATCACAATATCATTCTTCAAGTCCACTTCGTAAAGAAATCGTATTCGTCCGTTCATTATTTTAACAGAAATCAAATTCTATATTCATTATCTATTGTTATTACTATAAATATAAGACAATCAAGTGTGAAGAAAATATTATCTATAGTTCGGGAAGTTAATTATGGGTTAGAACCAAAGCAAGTCAAATATTAGATATATTTCAATTCTTCTCCACAGAACCAAGTATAAAATTTACCACAAATAGCAATATTTACGCCTCAGGTTATCAAAGTTAATTTATTATGTGGCGTGATCACAAATTTTGAATATACCTTCCCATAAATGTTTGTTGCATTCTCGAAGTGATTTTAAATCTTTTAACATAATTCTCAAAATGTTCAGTTTCATTTTAACTTTAGATTGTGTCAAAACTTTATTTATGAGTTGGTTTTGATAACATATGATGTTTTTTTAAGAATTGTTGAACTTCATACATATCCAGCATCGCTTCACACACAATAATGAATAATATCGTATTTTAAAGTGAGTTTACAACTTTAATCATATAACATTGTGATTCTAAAATATTTAATTAGTTCCATTTTTTCCTCCTATATTATGTCAAAAATATTATTTATAACTTGATTTGAATTATTTATTATATTATTTTAATTTTAAAGAATTGATTATTAAACTTCCTACTTTGTGCATATTCAATTGTATAAGAGATTGAAAGTTTATTATTTTCAATACGCATTTCTCGTGCAATGCACGAACATAGAGACTATTATTAAAAGAACGAAAGTCCTTGGTGAAATGTCGTTCACTTTTTTACCCTCTAAAATTAAATTCATACTAGATAAAATAGTCGTTTTAATTATTTTTTTAATATTTAAGACTTTACCATTAACTAAAATTTTAATTATTAAATATTTTCTTATTTAAAAAATGTCTATGAAGTCCTAATATTTAGGACTTTAAAATCTTAATTTCCTTATTATTTAAGATTTTCCAAATATCTAGGACATGAATTCAACTTCACTACAATTGTGAGATGTGATTACAAAACGTAAAATTCATAAGAACTTTGAATTAGAATGACTTTTGTGTAATAGGATTCTTGTTTTCCTTGTTGAAATTAACTTGTAACTCAAACACATTGTTTAAAAATATTTATGATATTTTTAAAATTATATACTTAGGGTTACGGATATGGTTGCATGCCCAAAGCACATACCCTAACACTAATTTTAAAAAAAAAAAGACAAATCAGCTTACAAGTGTTTTTTGAAAGGAAACTTTTTGCAAGACATGTATTATTTCAACTAACAACGTGCAAATCTAGGTCATCTTTAGATTACTAATTCTAGGTCCTCTTTAGATTACTTCTTTATATTGTAGTATATACAATTTTTTACACTATCCCCTTATAAAGTTTAAACACTTTTGTTAATATAAATTATTTATTGTAATTTTAGTATTTTTTTACATAAAAATTTATATTTTGTAACGAAAGTATTAAGTTCAGATGAACCGATTAAAAAATAAAAAATAAAAGCTCGATTCACGTAAATTTAGAATCATCAAGTCTTAATGAAAAGGAGAGTATTTTAATGATGGAATTGATAGGATGACGTATTTGGCGGAACCAACGTAAAATTCGCTAAAGTCATTTGCCGGCAAATTAGATTAATTAAGTTTGAGGCAGACAAGAATATGATTGATTTCAGAAACTATACCTTTGATAATGAATAAAGAAGATAGGAGTAATTGCTTTTCACTTTTGTTCGCCTTTTCCTTCGGAATCCACTTTCCACATTACACGTAGCCGTTTGTAGGATTATTTTAAATCATCATGGATTCTTACCTTCTACATTTCCTTTTTTCCCTCGTTGCTATTTCTTTCTGATTAATACTGAAAAGTTAAATCACAAAAAAAATAAATTTAATTTCATAAAGAGATAAAAAATACTTAAACGTCCAGCACTTGCTTTTGGATTTTTTGTTTTGTTTAATCTCATTAACAAATTTAAAATAGTAATTATTCAAAAATATCTCAAGATTTATAGCCTTTAAATACAAAATCTAACCAAAGACCTTCCCTTTTTCACTATCCACGACCTTCTAACCCAAAAAAGATGTAAAAAGAAAAAACAAGAAAAAGAACAAGAAGAGGGTAGAGAGAGAGAGAGAGTGATAGTTTGATATAAGCCTTAGAAAAAAAAGCATTCTCCATAGTCAAATGGTATCTCGTACTTACTGATCGGATTAATTAAATTTGTTTCGCGTATGCTCATTAAAGATAAAATCTTTTATTATGAATTTTTTACTATTATTAGAGTTTAGTTAGTCGATAAAAATCCTATTCATCTATATATCGTTTAAAACTTACTTACATAAAATATTTATATCTCTATGGATTAAAAAAGAAGTAATTTTACTTCATATAAACCAACAAAACTGTAATTGCCGTCTGTCAGGTCAAACTAAAAAAGAAAGACTAAAAATAGTGTTTACACACTGAAAATTCCAAAACGAAATCAGTAGCAGAAATAGTGGAAATCAAATAGTAGGCAAAAATATAGAGAACCCAAATCTAAAACCAAACCAAAACGTGAGCGACTCTCCAGCTTGGTCCTAAGTCCTTGTCCTCACGTTCCGTCTCTCCTCCTACCTTATTTGTAATTCTTTCAATAATAATGTCCAATAAACAACCAAATTCTCTCTTTTTCAGCTGATTTCTTTCTTAAGTATAGTATTTTATTCTCTCCGGCTTATTCTCTTCGTTTTTGACATGTTCAGCTCAAACTTGCCGTCTTTCCAAGAATCTTAAACCAACCCCATTTAAGTATTTTACCCAAAAAGACTAAAGGTTCTTCCTCTTTGTTAGGTTCTCTGTTTACAACATGTAAGTTTTCATTTTTTTTTGGATATACTTGAGTAATGCTCATATGGTCACTAGTATTGCTATTTTAGCTGAAATTGAGTGAGTTGCAAATTTTCATGTCTAAATTCTGTTTATTTTTCTATTTCTGTGTAATGGGCACTGAAATTCTTGGTTTTCTTTAATTGTTTATTTTTTCTTTCCCACTCTCTGTCATTATCATAGTGGTTTTTTTTTTAATTTTTTTTTTTTTTTTTTTTTTTTTTGGCTCTCTTTTGTTGGGTGTATATGCAGTTGTGGAATCGTACCAATTTGAGATTCTAAAATTTGAGCCACTGAAGATTAATGCGTATGTGTGTTCAGTAGATTGGATTTGCGTACGATACCGTTTTGCCAATTATTTGGGACTCTTGTTTCTAAATTTTCTCTGTTTTCGACGATCCTGGTGTAACATTCTTTCTATTTCTGCTAAAACTATAATTTTCTCGAATAAAATATATACAAAACATAAAATATAATATAGTTGAATGTTAGCTTGTTTATATATTATACAATGTAAGTCTTGTTTTTGTCTTTACACCAAATTTTTAGCTAGTTGCTTACGGAGTCTTTGGGAATATCTTTTATCTTGTTAATTTAGTATTCTTATAATTCTGGACTGAGCTTCTAGATGGTGACTTTTCTATGAACAGCATTTTGGAAGAGTGCAAATTGAAGGATCCATTTGAATAAGTATTGTGGAGAGGAAATCAAGAACGGGCTTTTGGGGCGTTTGGTTTGCGATTGCAGAGTAGATGAGGATTGAGTTTGATGTGAATTTTTATTGCTAGTGATGAACTAATGATAAGGTTCAACAATGAAGTCATTAAACATGGAGAAGAGATGGATATTTCCTTTGGTTATAAGCTCATTTGTGTGTTTCTTCCTTGTTGTAACCTCCTTTAACATGGGCCTTATTACTTCATTACACACATTCAATTCAATCTTTTCAATTTTCCCAACTCATGTCAAGATAAATCAAACCAACCCGTATTTTGCTGAATCGAAAATTAACCAAGCTCCAGCCCCTCCTGCTGCTCCTCCTGTCCCCCGATTCGCTTATTTGATATCTGGATCAAAGGGTGATCTCGAAAAGCTTTGGAGAACGCTGCAAGCGTTGTATCATCCACGGAATTATTATGTTGTTCATCTGGACCTAGAATCGCCTACACAAGAGAGATTAGAGCTTGCTTCTAGAGTGGAGAAAGATCCCATTTTTGCGCAGGTTGGGAACGTGCACATGATCGCCAAAGCAAATATGGTGACCTACCGTGGACCTACCATGGTTGCAAACACTCTTCATGCTTGCGCGATTCTCCTCAAGAAGTATACGGATTGGGATTGGTTTATTAACTTGAGTGCTTCTGATTATCCACTGGTGACTCAAGATGGTTAGTTCTCTGGTTGTTTATCTTTATCTACCAGCAAAAAGGGCACCATTTTTTGATGGTCATAAGTCAGTCTTGAGTAGTTATGTTCTGTTTCTTTCTTCAAAGAGGTGTTTAATTATTACTATTAATTATTTTTGGCAGATTTAATATACACTTTTTCTGATTTAAAGCGAGAGTTCAATTTCATTGAGCACACTAGCCGGCTGGGTTGGAAAGAGTATGCTATCCTCTCTCTGTCTCTCACTTTGTGCTCTTGAAGTTTTATCGTACTGAGGTTTAATTTCTGCGTCAATGTGTTGATCCTATTGCAGGGGTCAAAGGGCAATGCCGCTTATTGTAGACCCTGGGCTCTATAAGACAACTAAGTCTGACATATTTTGGGCCTCACCTAAGAGAGCTCTTCCCACATCCTTTAAGCTCTTTACTGGTTAGTTTTTGATGATTTAATTTGCATACTTGTTTACTGATGTTTATGCACCAAAAATGCAAAAATGCATATACATTGGTCGGGTAAAATTTTGTACTTGTACCATTACACCTTTTCCTTAATCTGGATATACTTTCTTGGTTAAAATAAGGACTTTGTATCAAACCTTAAGCGGTCGTTTGGTTCAGTCCTAGGATATCCCATGAGATTATAGTTCTGGGATATCCCATGGAATTATCTATACCACCTCCTGTATGGGATAGCTAATACCATCATTTTGGTACAGAATTTATATTGGTATTAGCTAATACTCACAACCAAACATGGGATAACTATAATCCCAAATTTATACTGGGATTAATATCTTTACCCCGGTAACCAGACGACCCCTAAGACTCTGAAGTGTCTCAGAGCTAGAGAAGCTGAACTGTAAGATAAGTTTCAAGTGTCTTAACATGGTGATCTTGGTATTATTATTGACTGAAAATAATCTTCATATGAATCTTTGGATGCCTGCAACCTGCATGTTTGCATATTCACTATTGCGGTTAGATGAAATAGTGATATATTTTGCATCAGTTCGACTAGTCTGCAAAATGTTTCAGTTATTGTTGTTACCTGCTAAAATTGCTGGATCCAGAGATTTGGTTTTTCATATCTTGAAATTCATCGGTTTTATACTTGATACTGTATTTCTCCACACTAAAATCTTTTTCCTAGAAGCACGAGGAAGCAATTCATCAATCTTATGTATAGATGGAAATGACTTTATTACTTTCTGGCCGAACTGCATGAACTGCATTGACTATGAAGTGAACTCTTACCGTAATGTGCCCACAACACTGTTATCTTCTTATTTGCGCAATTATGAGCAATGCTACAAATTTGATACAGGTTCAGCGTGGATGATCCTCTCTCGTGCTTTTGTGGAGTACTGCATATGGGGTTGGGATAATCTTCCTAGGACCCTACTTATGTACTACACAAATTTTGTCTCTTCTCCTGAAGGATACTTTCAGACCGTTGTGTGCAATGCCCCAGAATTTGCTACGACTGTTATTAACCACGACATGCACTATATTTCTTGGGATTACCCTCCACGACAGCATCCACACACTCTCAACATTAATGACACAGCAAAAATGATTGGAAGTGATGCTGCTTTTGCACGCAAGTTCAAGCAAGATGATCCCGTTTTGGACAAGATTGATGAAGAACTCCTCCATCGAAGCAATGGAAGCTTCACACCGGGGGGTTGGTGTACTGGAAAACCTCGTTGTTCAAAGGTTGGAAATTTAACGAAGCTTAAACCAGGTCCAGGGGCTAAAAGACTTCGGCGTCTTATTGGTAAACTAGTTTTGTCAGCTAAATTTAGTCAACACCAGTGTAATTAGTTATACTTTTCCTGCCTACTGATGAAAAGGCGAGGGGGAAAGAGTTTCATTTATAGAGCCAGAGAATAACATATTAACATTAGATTATTTTGTAATATATAAAGTTTGCCATATCCTTGCCACTATTTTGGTGTTCCTGTTTTTGTAGCTACACTTGGACAGGATATAAGGTTCATCTTTACTGCCCTATTCTGTGGCTTTGTTTGTTTAAATTATCTCTGCACATTTCATTTCCTGGCAAACAAACTCATGACTCACTGTTCTTCACTGCACACTTTCTATATATGTGTCTTCGTCCAATCAAACACATTCATGCCATATAGATCATGCTCGACAGAAACGAGACTAGGGTCCATGCTCCCCGCTTTCTTCTTGTGGTTACTATTAGAGCTTAAGCCAAGGAACTCAAAACAACAGTAGAAGCACACCTTTATTTACTAATTTTGCAGTTTATTCTGTGAAAGTGTAACTCGATTTGGGCGTGGGAATGAACTTACCGAAGATTGACTCTGATACCATATTAAAATTGGGCACTTAACTCAAATATTTAAGACAACGGGTGGATAGCCCCAGAACTTTAGAAACCTATTTGAAAGCTCTTACACAGTCCATGTGGAATAACAATACAACTCAACATATTCTTCATATATTATAAAAATAAAGCTGAAAAGATCTTCCCAAGCATGTTTTAAGGAGAATAGAGGGTTAATTGGTATAAGTTCTACCTCATAGAGTGTGCAATATTTGATAACTTATACCTTACATCTTAAAGCTGTAAGGTATGATCTTTCATTGATTGTTCCTTTCTCTTCACTGTTACCTGAGCTACCCCTTGAAAGGGAAAAAGTCAAAGAAAAAGGAAGTAGAAAAAAGAAACTACTACACTTCATTTGGGAAACAATTGTTAAAAGGGTTGCCTTATCAGGTGAATTCACCAGCTCCGTTATCTTATACACTCATTTCTTTAGATAAAATCTAAAAACCCTCCCAAATCTTCAGGTCTAGCCAAGTACTACAATTTATTTGGAGGAGATAAAGAAAAAAGAAAAGAAAAACCAGAAGTCAACTTATTAGGTGATTATAACATTCTTGTTTTTTCTTTTTTAGTTTCCTATCCGGTGTTTGGTGCCTGCATTGGAGTCCCGACTGATCCAGATTCTCGCAGTGTAAGGTCAATTAAAGGGGAAGCGCTTCACATCGGAATTTTATTCCATACCCAGAATTCGAACTCGAGATCTTTGGTTAGGGGTGAACGGATCATATATTCATCCAACCACAACCCTGGATGGTATTATAACATTCTTGTTACCATAACACATATTTAATATAGAATCATACAGTCTCTTTTGAGGTTTCGATTTGTAACATGTCTTCTTGTGGATCGAATCAAAGATTATTTGCAAAACAGAATGGAGGATCACAAGATTAGAATAATGATCAATAAAATAAAGTTAATGCACACTAGGCATATTTGCCGATTCATATATTAAAGCATTGTTATGCACATAAAAGGTATCAGTAATTCTCCTAATGTATCTTTTTGAGCTTCCGGGTCCATACTTTTCTCTTCCATTATATCTTTCAAAAAGAAAAAAGAAAAAAAAACTATACGCAACGCTAACAGATTCAGAGCAGAAACGCACCAACTTAACACTCATATTTTTGCATGCTCTTGGTCATGAACAGCATACACGTAACACATCAAAACAAGAGTGTCCAGAAATGAATATTCCTATTTCCCTCTTTCCTCCTACCTAATTTCATCTTATTCTTTATAAATGAAAAGAGAGAATTAAAGCAAGAATTTGTGTTTCTTCGCTATGTAAATAGAGTAACATTCAGAAAGTTGCAATACATACAACTTGGTTCTTCTGCCTCATTGCTTTCATTGCCAAGATATAGAAAGTTTTCTGGAGATCATATAGTTCTTCTGAAACTTCATTCCGACTCTGGAAGTTATAGAATATACAAAGAGAAATTCACATTTAGCATTCTTTCCCTTTTATGTACAGCATTTCACCATAAGACCAATATATGTTCTCATATTTGCAGTGAGCTACTTGAACTATATGAACTACTAGCAAAAATCTTGGTTTCTTGATGATGGCAAATATCCTCATTTACCAACTGCCATGGTATCCTACTCTCTTCAGTGCAAGCCATTCATTTATCAATGCAGGCAAAAATCTTTCATCCCTTTCTATCCTGGAACCAACCCAAAACCGTTGGAGACCGTGAACCACGTTAAACCATCTCCAAGAGCTTAATATTTCCCATAGAATTTGCAGCAACTAAGGTAGAGGACTGACCACGCCAACAAACAGATGAGATAAACTGTGCTTGGTCATCCACTTCATCACCAGAAAGCGGATCCGTGCTATTAAATTTAAATGATAATGCAGGCATAGGAAAAGCTTTGTGGTAGACAAAGACCTGCAACACAACGCAGATCACACACATAACATTAACATGTAGCAATTAGCTATTTGTGGAACAATACAGACAAGTATCAATACACAAGCTATGCAATAAGACTCAATATATAGCCATTTAAAAGATATACACTGGAGAGTCCATGCAATTTTAATGGTCCTTCACCCCCTTTTTTCTTTAACAAGGCGTATTTCATCCCTTTCAAGTATTCTCATAACCATCATATACTATAGGCACTACAGTACTTGTCCTTGATCTAATATTCCTTTGTTCCATTTGTCCCCAGGTTTTCTTATTATGGATGTTTACCATATATGACCAGTAGAAAGTGGGCAGTACTGTAACTACCAGCTAATAAGCAGTGTTCTAATACATATGAAGGAAGAAAGGAGGATAATCTAAGATCTTGTAGAAGCAATTTTTGGGAAGTTGTTTTCTTTTGGTATCTATTGAGTCATGTTCTCCTATTGAAAAAAAAAACGCCTAAATTATCAAGACTAGCTACTTTACAATCAATTGCATTGAAAAGGAAATAAAGAAAAGGATTGAAAAAAGTTGCAGAAAGAAAGTGGGGGGCTAAACAATTTGCCAAGTTGCAAATTGTTGAATGAGCAAATCTTATTGGTTGGTTTGGAGGCAACTTTGCCTATAAAAGGAAGTATTTCGTTTCAGTTTAGAACACATCAAAATAAGAGAGAAGCAATAGAAGTTAGAGAGTAATTCACAGATTGTAGTCTCTAAGATAATAGTGGGTGTGCGTAATAATGTAGTGAGGTGTTTTTAATAAAGAGTGTTATTTCTTTCAAAATTGTAGTAGTCTCTTGACACTACTAAATTGAAATAATATAGTACTTCCTCCGTTCCAATTTATGTGAACCTGTTTGACTGGCCACGGAGTTTAAGAAAAAATGAAGACTTTTGAAATTTGTGGTCCCAAACAAATCAAAAAGGGGCCCAGAGTATTAGTGTGGTTATAAAAGCTTCTCACTAAGGGTAGAATTGTAAGTTTAAGCTAAATTGTTTCCAAATTTAGAAATGGGTCATTCTTTTTAAAACGGACCAAAAAGGAAATAGGTTCACATAAACTAGAACGGATGGAGTAGTTATATTGTTCCGCTAGGGTATTGTATTTTACCCCCATTAAAAGGGTTGGTGTCGTTATTACTCTCTTGTTTTATTATTATTTGTCGTGGATATTATTCTTCGTCGGGATTATTATTTTGTCTCAACTGGGGTTTGAGGTTTTTTTTATGGTGTGTGTGTGTGTGTGGGGGGGTGGG